CTAGAAACCAGACTAGATAATAGGCAATGGTGAAGACTACTCACAGTATGTCTTGGTAACTTTAGGTCAAGCCGACAAGGCACTGTGAAACAGCAGAAACTGGGGAGTTGGAGGGTCAAATTTTATATAATTATACATTAACTGCATGATCCTTGGGGTTTCTTAACTTTTTTCCCAGCTCAGTTTCCTCACATACAAAATGGACTTATTATCCATCTTACAGTGTCAATGTGATTAAGTGCTGGATGCCTGGGTCCAAAGTGAGCCCTCAATACATACCACTTCCTCCATAAAAAAATAATAATAAAACAATGGTTGGATCTAGATCATTCTTGGTTTAATTATATAAGGCCTCATAAAATGAGGGATAAATCTTAAAGTATGCCCAAAAGGAAATGTCAGGTTTATAGTTGAAGGAGAGAAAAAGCTATGTATAAAGAAATCAATTACACTCCCTGCCCCTACCACCAAATTAATTGCACATAATGAATTCTAAGGACCTAAAAGTAAAGAGAATGGAAGACAAGAGAACATTCAGGATAAGAAACAACAGAGAAGCATGACACCCATGTAAAATTAGTGACTACAGATCAAAAGTAACAAAGAATCCAGTTTTAAGAAATTGAAGAATGTATTTTCATTCCTTCCCCAGGCACATCACTCCCCCCAACATCTCCACATGTTCACCAGTTCAGAAACTCCACAAAAAGATAATTTTCACAATTAAATGTATGAACTGAATAAGAGTAATTTAGAAAATACTTCAATGGGAAGGGTGAGGCGGGCATTCATCCACTGAAATTTTTTTCTCAGAATGGGCCTGGGAAAGAAAAGATCACTTAAGAAGGGAAACACAAAATACAAAAAATAAGAACTGGGAGTCCAAACTGGAAATCATAAAGTGGAGAAATAATCAGAAGGTACTACAATGGAATGTCTTTAAGGGCTAAAATGAGTAACACTTTATCTTGGGAATAAAATGGAGAGCTGATTCCTACTAAGCCAATTCAAAAACATATGAAAACTTTACTTTGTGATTTTTTTTCAGTGTACTAACTTTGGGCCCTAAACTTGTCCATGACCTATTCAACAGGAAGTGTGGTGGGAGAATAGTAAAAAAATACATAAATAAACTGGAAGTGTGCTAAAATAAATATAATCACTCCTTAAGAGTGGCAGCCACAGAAACGTATCTCCTCTTATGGAAAGTAAAATCACAGGCTGCAGCTTCTGGGTTCGGAAATCCTTCACCTGTTTATACAGGTGAGTACACCTGACATTCCAGAGTTGGATGCTAGCCAATGAATGAATAGAGCAGGTATACGACAGTTCCAGGACTCCTCAGCTGTCTTGCTAAAGCTTTCTTAAAACCACAATTCTGTATTGCTAAGTAAGACCTTTTTTCCCTCAATTTTTCAAAGGAGATCTCAAAGGAGAGCTCCCTCCTCATTTATCCTACAGTTCTCTCCAAGCTCTTTTGCATGTTTGCTTCTCAGAGAATTGAAACTTACATATTTAGTTAAAACAAAACTTAACTTTTTCTTTATGTAGGAATCACTGAACAGAAAGAATTCCTAATCTCTTACCATTACTACCACTACTACCATTACAGTGAAGAAAGAACCTCATTCCTTGTGAAAAGGGTATGGTTATGGTTAAATAAAAGAAAGAAGTGCTTCAATCACTGGAGAGTTAAAGGCTATGTATGATATGCTTTCCGCCCTTTCTCCCAAATCCTCTACTACATATAAAAAGAAAACAGAAGGAAATGCCTCATCACACTAACGGAAGAGTAACTGATGATTTCCTTTTAAATCCTGGACTGAGGTGGAAGGGTGAGTAGGATACATGGCCTTCTAGCTTCCTGATATCTCAGCTGGAGAGAGACTGATCTGGCTATGGTATTACACTACAGTGCTAAAGACTGGAATCATAATCATCACGTAGGAAGGCTATTATAAGTCTTTAAAAACTTCTATTATGGCCCTGGCTGATGTAGCTCAGCGGACTGAGCATGGGCCTGCAAATCAAAGGGTTGCTGGTTCAATTCCTAGTCTAGGGCACATGCCTGGGTTGCAGGCCTGGTCCCCAGTAGGGGGCCTCTGAGAGGCAACCATACATTGATGTTTCCCTCCCTGTCTTTCTCCTTCCCTTCCCCCTCTCTAAAAATGAATAAATGAAATCTTAAAAAAAAACACACACAAAAACTTCTATTATGTACTTTTGCTTGCATTGTCTCAGTTAATCTTCAAAACAGCCCATGTGAAGGAGGTATTATTGGTATGTCATATGCTCCCAGTTTTTTCTCCTACTCTGATCATCTCTCTTTCTCAATATTTTTTGCTGACTGGGTCCTTATTCTTCTTCAGATCTTAGTATGCCCAAGGATTCTGCTCTAAGACCTCTTTTGTTCTCTTTAAATGAAAATACGCTCTTTAAAATGTCCTTTGGGGTGGGGGGGGGAAATATATTTAAGAGAAAAAAAAAGAAAAATACAAATGACAACAAGAAACCATAAAAAACGTCCGTAAGGAGCCCGTCCTGACGTTTTAAGTACTATTTGTATGTGGATGATGACTTCCAAATTTGTATCTGTAGCGCTAATTTCTCCAGTTAGTTCAGACTCATATGTACAACTATCTACTTGACTTCTCCTTTTGGATACAGTAGATGCTACTAGTACCCACCCGCTCACATCCCCTTGGCATTCCCCCGCTTAAACTTTCCAATGGCTTCTCATTTCAATTAAAATCCAAGCTATTTGCCTATGTCCTCAAATAACCTACTTATTTCCTTCCTTTCCAATCTTATCTCTGATCATTAATCATTTTATGCATTAAGTTAGAACCACAGCGGAATTTCTATTCTTCAAAGATTTAAAAACTGATTTATACCTCAGGCATTTGCATTTCTCTGTTCTCTTTTTAACCTCCAGTTCTTCAAATGACTGGCTCTTTTTTGCATAATTCGGGTCTCAGTTCAAATGGTACCTCCTCGGAAAGGCCATCCCTGGTATCCATCAGTATCCATTAATTTTGCTATGCCTGTGGTCATTCAATTTCATCATTCAATTTTATATTTTTTCATAGCATTTAAAATCTGAAATCTTATTTGTATGACTCACTCCTAACCTTTGAAAATATCAGTTTCATGACATACTAGGCATTATTATTACCCCTAGTCCCTAGCGTAATACCTAGAACATATTACAGACTTAACTATTTACTGTTATTGAGTAAATAACAGTAATTAAAGACAAAATGTGAAGTTGAAATTCAAGTTCACAACTATGATGCTAAACCACATGGAGCTTTCCTATTCCATTAAATGTGCATTCACTGAGATAGTTATAGAAGAAGAGTGCTCTCTGCTCAATTTCAGTTTGCATATGTGCAGAATATTAGATTATTCCACCACTAAAGACACAGTAGCAAACTCAAACCACCAGACCTTCTGCAACATAAACAAAAATAGTAATACACAAAAAAAAGTAAATGTAAAGAAACATTGTTTATTATAAATAGTTCAAGGTCCAGTATATACTTATGAGTCCAAAAAAGTCCAAACACTGTTAATATAATAATAATGGTCTACATGACATTGATGTAACCTGGCAGCCAAGGAGAGTGGACTGGAATGCACATACATGAACAATGACTACTTTACTCTGCTAGCCAGTGGGGGCAGTAGACACCGTTGAGTGAGTATGTGTACTGTGTGGCTGTCGCATTCAAAATAACTGAGCAAGTAGAGCAATGAATCTATATCAAATTTTGTGTTAAACTTGAACATTCCTCTGTGGAAACTATTCAGATGACTCAGAAGGCTACGGATATTGTTCATCACAACAATGCACCTGCTCATGTATCTATCATATCTTGTGCCATTTTTTAGCAAAACATCAAACCACCTAGATGTCTCAGCCCCGCTACAGCCTAGATTTGGTGCCCTGTGACTTTTGGCTTCTCCCAAAGCTAAAATCACCTTTGAAAGGGAGGAGATTTTAAGACCATCAATGAGATTCAGGAAATTATGATGGGGCAACTGATGGTGATCGGGAGAACTGTGTGAGGTCCCAAGGTGCCTACTTTGAAGGGGACTGAGGTGTCATTGTCCTATGTACAATGTTTCTTGTATCTAGGATCTTCTTGAATAAATGTCTCTATTTTTCATAGTACATGGTTGGCCTGGATATTTTCTGCACAGACCTTGATAATTCAGACAAAGGAATGCAGCAAAATCTGGAAGTCTTTTTTATCTAATGTAGGGTATTAACCTCATAGGAGTAAAAAAGTAAGAAGTCTGTATGTGGAGGTGAAGTAAGCAACAGGCAGTATCTTGGGAATACAGTATTCAGAAAGAAGAATCCTTAGATTGCCTGGAAATGAAGAACATGCAGGAAAGAAAAGAGAATGGCAGAAATAGGAAAACAGGAATAGAATGCCCTGGCCAGTGTGGCTCACTTTGTTGGAGTGTCATCCCATAAACCAAAAGGTTATGGGTTCAATTCCTGGTTAGGGCACATGCCTAAGCTGTGGGTTCAGTCCCCCACCAGGGAGCATATAAGAGGCAAATGATTGATGTTTCTCTCCCCCTCTCTCTAAAAAGTCAACACACATGTCCTTGGGTGAGAATTTTAAGAAAAGGAATACAATTGCACAGTAGTTCCCAGCTACTCAGAAGTAAAAATGGAATTAAAGCATCATATATTTTTGAATTAGGACATTGCTACTGTTAAGCTCATTCCATATCAAATACCAAATAAAGAAACACCATTTAAAGGGTAAATTGATACGACTGCTATAATTAGTGAAAAAAAGAAAAACAAGCGTTTTTTCCTTTTTTCCTTAATTTCACAAAGTATTCACCCAAAGATGACATAAAGCTGGGACACAAATAGCACTTTCAGTCCCAGAACTGATTATAAATGAAAACCAATGTACTTTCTATTCGGGAGAAAAATTAACTTTCATTCAAGAGGACCCAAGAACCAGACTCACCGATCTTCTAAAACTTTAATGGTTTCGTGAAGAACTTTCTGTTGCTCTCTTAGCTGTTGATTTCTGGTGTAGAATTCTTCAAGTCTCTGTGCATCTCTAAAAGTTAAGAAATAAGGTGTTATTTTTTTTAAGAAAAAAAATACTGTAACAGGATAGATAACTATCATAAAAATTCCAAAGGATGGATGGTCTCACCATTTACATGTGTCATGAATTTGCTGTACCGAAACAAACTACTTAAAAGGTGAGGTTTGAATATCTTGTTAATTGGAGTTCAAGTTATACTAGAATTTGCTCTGCAGTACTGTTTTGTACAACAGAACTGTTATGCTGAAGTATCAGGCATTCATCATATAATGCCGGGACACAGATGGAGTGGACTCTGATGCCACCATTGACTCAATGTTGTCAAGACTGCCAATAAAAATGTACATTTACTGTTTTTTATTTTATCTACATTGGTTAATGTAATTAACAAGTATCTCTACTCATTTCATCTCTATTTCCATCATGGGGCATTCACACTTTCCATTTGATTTATTTCTGTGTTGCTTAAACTTCTACCAGGTATTATTTTTAAGCCAGGGCTTACAGTGAGTGGAAATGCATGAACCCTAGATCCTGATGCCTAGGTTTCAATCCTGGCTCTGTCTTTTACCAGTTGTGTGAACTGGTACAAGTAACCTACACTCTCCGTGCCTCAAAAGATGTGGATACACTGTATTTCCCATGCAAGGCATTTGCAAGGACTACATACTAATGTGTGTACAGCAAGCAGAACAGTGCAGGTACATAGTATGTTCTATTTAAGGTGGTTATCATTATATTTTTATAGTCAAGAAAGAACAAAGTCATCTAAAATTTTCTTTTAGCAGATAATCTGGTTACTTTCCAAGGTTCTGCCATATTTTACCTCTCCATCATTATATTTAAAAAAAAATCACATTATATAAAGTATGCATATATTTTATTTCTAAAAAAAAACCCATTAGAAATTTTATTGGGATTTTCTGTGTTGTCTTAAAGTTGAAAATAAAGGATAATCCTGTGGCTCAAACATTTTCCCTCAGCCCCCTCAAGGGTTTCAAATGTCAAATAAGAATGACTGGGGACTTCCGCCAAGATGGAGGCATAGGTGGGGACACTTTGCTTCCTCGCACAAACAAATCTAAAAACAACAAAGTTTTGACAATAATAAACAAAACAAAACCACACAGAAAATCGAATACGGAGTCCAGAAACAACGGACCACTCAGCTAAACTGGTGAGGGGGCGAAACCAGCAGCGGAGCCAGTCGGGCAAAAGAGATCCGGGCAGGGGTGCAGATCCCAGGTGCGGGCTAGCTACGGGCGGAACCCAGGGAAGAGGCGCTGCTGGCTGTCTGCAGTTGCCAGCAGCGCATTTGCACGCATATAAACCAGTGAAGAGGCAAGCATTGAAACAGATCTCGCAGGCGCCAGAGACTAGCGCAGGGCAGCAGATTCGCACATTTGCGCTGGGATAAGCAGGCGGGGGCAAGCAGTGAGGCGGCCTGGGCGAGTGCACCGCCATTGCTCCCTCTCTGACCCTGCCCCCACATACAGCGTCACAAACCTGCGACCTGGGTAGCCCCGCCCTGGTAAACACCAAGGCGCCTTTCCTCAATCGCAACAGGCACGAACAGATCAAAACATGGCTCAAGAACAACTCGGAGCCCCAGAGCCAATAAATCTAAGCAGTGAAGAAATAGCCAAACTTTCAGATGCACAGTTCAAAACACTGGTGATCAGGATGCTCACAGAACGGGTTGATTTTAGTCACAAATTAGAGGAATATATGAAGGCTAAACTAATTGAACTGAATGGAAATGCACAGGAAACCAATAGTAATGGAAAGGAAACTGAGACTCAAATCAAAGGAGTGGACCAGAAAGAGGAAAAAAATGACCAAACAGAAAAGGATGAAGAAACAAGAATTCAAAAAAATGAGGAGAGGCTTAGGAACCTCCAGGACATCTTTAAACGCTCCAACATCCAAATTATAGGGGTACCAGAAGGGGAAGAGGAACACCCATGAGGGGAACACTTATCTGAACAAATAATAAAGGAGAATTTCCCCAATCTGGCAAAGGAAATAGACTTCCAGAGAGTCCAGCAAGCTCAGAGTCCCAAAGAAGTTTGACCCAAGAAGGAACACACCAAGGCACATCATCATTACATTAGCCAAGATTAAAATGAAAGAGAGAATTCTGGAAGCAGCAAGAGATAAGGGGACAGTCACCTACAAAGGAGTTCCCATCAGACTGTCAGCTGATTTCTCAAAAGAGACCTTACAGGCAAGAAGGGCTGGAAAGAAGTATTCCAAGTCATGAAATCCAAAGACCTACAACCAAGATTGCTCTATCCAGCAAAGTTTTCATTTAGAATAGGACAGATAAAGTGCTTCTCAGATTAAGATCAAATTCAAGGAGTTCATCATCACCAAGCCCTTACTATATGAAATGTTAAAGGGACTTACCCAAGAAAAAGAAGATAAAAAAGATGAACAGTGAAAGGACAGCAAACTCACAGTTATTAAGAACCACACCTAAAACAAAAGCAAACTAAGGATAGCTAGATCAGGAGCGAACCATAGAAATGAAGATCATGTGGAGGGTTAGCAACAGGGGAGTGGGAGAAGGAGAAGGGGGAAGAAGGTACAGAAAATAAGCAGCATAGAGAGTAGATAGAAAATAGATAGGGGGAGGGTAAGAATAGTAGGGGAAATATAGAATCTAAAGAACTTGAGACACATGTTCATGAACTAAAGAAGGGAGAATGGTGGGGGAGGGGTGTGCAGGGTGGAGGGGAACCGAGGAGGGGAAATAGAACAAATGTAATGGCATAATCAATTTTTAAAAAGTTAAAAAAAAAAAGAAAAAAAATGACAAACCAGTCTGCCACAAAAAGTAGATGTCCAAATGATTATGTCAAAATGACTCAAATGCAGAATGTAATATTAGCAGCAAAACAGGTAAGTAAACAACTTAAAGTAAAAGAGCTCAGAGTTATGTCAGATACCCTATATAGGAATATTTCTTTAATATTGGTTGAATAGTTAATATTGAATAAAAAGCAATATATCTTAGAGTCAGTCTCCTCTTAGACAACAAATATAGTTCTGACAGCATATCCAGACACCTGAAATTGAAAACTATAGCAACAGAAAGCTGAAAATTGTTAACTCAGCTGTCTCATTTAATAATAAAATTTTTATAATGCTTCTACAACATGTATTTAATTTATAAGCAGCACCAGATTTTTACTGGCTGTATTTTGGAAGTTTTCAACCAAAAAATATTCAATAGTCAACATTTCTACACTTAATTTTATAAATTAGTCTGTATTAAAGGGAAGTTTTAGCCATCTGCAGAGACAACCATCATCAAAAACACCACTCTGGAACAATTCAATAATGAACAAATGTAATATAGTTATCAATTACTTTTCTAACTGCTTCTTCCAGGTGAGAACCCTAAAGATTCTAGTATCTTACAAATACAGTTATTGTAACAATATGGAGATAAGACATCCTGTTACTGCCCCTATCTATTATAAAGTGTATTGGCAAAGGGGAGTTACAATATATAGGCAAATCCAAGTTTCTGCTCCCACAATGCAAAGATCTAACTTACTGTAATATAAAGTATCCTTTAATTCTCTTATTACTCAGGGAATTTAGTTACCTGTGTTTCCTAAATGTATAACCCCAAGCTACCTGAGGAACACAGGTATAGATTAATTACAATATATTAAAAGGTTGCTAAGAAGATCAAATGACTCTGTAAACTATATGGTGAAGTAAGACATTATTACATTATTATGAGCTCTGAATAACCAGCTGTGTTTCCATTCTTTAAAATTTAGACATGGTATAGGTTATTTTTAAGAAATATTTAATAGTCATTTACAAATTTAAGAAGGTTTTTCATATTGCTGTTTGGTTAGAGGTGTGGACAAATATAATTTGTACAAAAAGTCTCAGTTATAAAAAATGCATTTACCATAAGCAAATCTAGATCATTTCTATTTATGTCTAATCATTCAACCTGCAGAGAAATGATTCTTAGTCTAGCTAACAGAAATACTACTTTACAGACAAAAAGCTATCATTTAAATAGAGTAATAGTTTAGAAAATAAAATTACTAGGCCTATATAAAAGATCCATTTTAATAAAACTAAATTCCTTCAAAAAAACTTAGTGAACACAGTTTAAAAATGTATAATCAAATACCAAACTATGATTTCTGAGTTTGTCAGTATTGCTTCTTAAAAGTGACCAACATTTTACTCTGAAAGATGTCATTCTAATCAATAGCTGTTGATCCAGCATCTATAAGATCATTAACTTCAACCCTGAACCAAAGTAAAATATAAAAAGCTCACTGTCTACTAATCAATTTCAAAACATTACACTTTTGGTATCAAAACAGGGTCAGATAAAACAGTGACTAGAAGGTGGGGAGGGGAGTAGGGAGGAATGGGTGAAAAGAGGAAGAGGAACACAGTCAATGATATTGTGACAAATTTACATGGTGACAGTTACTAGAATTAGTAAGGGTGATCACACTGTAAGGTAAAAATGTCAAATCACTATACTGTAAACCTGCAACTAATATAACCAATACACAATTGTACACCAACTATACTTAAATAAAAAATAAAATCCCACAAAGCAAAGAAGAAAAAAGGTCAAAGAACAAGAATTCTTATATACATGAAAGGAAAGACCTGTAAAATAACTCCAACAAACAATAATTAGCTATTTAATTCTGTATGTGTTAAATCACCTTATCAAATCATTGATAGTATTCATGTTCTAATAATCATGCTAGTAGAAACCATCTCTAGCTGGACTATAAACAATAAAGATGAAAATAGAGTAAGTGCATTTCATAATTTTAAATGAAATGAAGTACTTTTATTACTGAAGAAAATCCTCTTTACTTTTATTTTTTAATATATTTTATGCTATTACAATTCTCCCATTTCTCTCCCTTCATGCCCCTTTGCCCTGTGCATGCCCTCCCACCCACATTCTCCCCTTTAGTTCATGTCCATGGGTCATACATACAAGT